CACCCCCGCCCTCTCCTTGTTTTCAAGATCGCCCAAGCGGAAGAGCAAATCCGGGCGGAGGAGCCGGTCCCCGCGCGGCAGGAGGAGCCGGAGCCCGCACCACGCCGCCGTCAGGGTGAAGCAGGTAAATCGCGTTGTCGGTAGCAGCGAGGCCCGGTCCTGCCCGCGGAGGCGTTATTGGGGCCTTTGCGCGCTTCCCGGCTCCACAGCGACGTGAGACTCTTCCCGTGGGACTCGGCCGTGCGAGGTACGACCAATCGACTTCTGACCCGGCGGGTATTTTCTTTTATTTTCTTGGAGCGGGTCCGTTAGGAAAAGGCGGGTCTTGGCGGCTTAAGAGCTGGTGCTGCTCACCCGAGGCTCTGCCGGGAGCTCGGTCCCGTGGGAGCCCAGCCCCTGCCACCGCGCCTCTGCGCCCGCCGGCTGCTTCCTGCGCCCACCGCGCCATTTCCTGATTCAGGGCAAATCGCGGGAATCCGAACGGTTTGGCAAAGAAATGAGTTTCTCTCACTTTGTGTTAGACCTGCACACAGCACGTCCCAGAGTGCGTTTTCCACGTGTGGGAGTGTGATTCTTCTGAAAGCTGCCGTAGACTCACTGCTCTTTCGTTCCAATTCTGAATGCATCACTAAGCGGTTCCTCGTTACAGGAGCGAGATGACCACTGTCATAGAGGAAACGAGGAGCGAAAGCAGAGGTACCCATCAGAGCAGGAACACAGGAGGGAGAGGAGCGGTGACAGAGATAGACACAGAGACCACTCAGACAGAAGGAAGAATCCGAATGAACGGCCCGGAGTTCGAGGCCACGAGCGAGAGAGGGATGTTCAGAACATCCGTGAGCAGCAAGCAGAGAGGGAGTTCTATAACGAGAGAAGACGAGAGCATCGGCAAAATAACGAAGGCAGCGGTGTCAACCAGAATCCAGAACTTGGGCAGTCCGATACTAAACCTAAAGAAAAAGCTTCTGTGAACAAAGAGAAGCCGAGCTTTGAACTGTCGGGCGCGCTCCTGGAGGATACCAACACTTTCCGAGGTGTTGTGATCAAGTACAGCGAGCCTCCCGAAGCTCGGATCCCCAAGAAGCGGTGGCGCCTCTATCCTTTCAAAAACGACGAGTTCCTCCCTGTCATGTACATCCACAGGCAGAGTGCTTACCTCCTGGGCAGGCACCGCCGCATCGCCGACATCCCCATCGACCACCCCTCCTGCTCCAAGCAGCACGCCGTGTTCCAGTACCGGTAAGTGTTCCCCTGCCTGCGGGTGAGGCCGGGTCGTTCGGGAGCTTCTGAAGAAAATCAAACAAACAAAAAAACCCCCCGGGGTCTGCACAGTTGAGAGATACGAGTTTGCTGTAAGTATGTTAGAGATGGAGTTTATGTTTGATTGTGGCGCATCATCCTAGCAGTAATCAAAAATATCCGTAATTCACTTAACCACAAGCAGCATTTCAGTAAGAGAAATAACACAGCAGGTGTAAACGCTGCACCGGAATGAACTGTAGGTGTAATTGGCAGGGAGAGTATTTCAGAGAGAGGTTTTATTCATTTGGTCTTTCACAAACAAAGTCTGCTGGGAAGCAGCAGGGGTTGCTGCTGCTGGAGACAGAGACACTCGCTGAGGGAACAGCCATCTGTTCCCCTGTGGGAATCGCTGTCTTCTGTCACCAGCAGTTTTAGAAGGTGACACAGTCTGTCAGAACCTGCCGGGTCTCGCGCGGTCTCTCGTTGCTCAGACGACTCTTCGCTGCGCTGGGGCTCGTGTCTCGGGAGCCCGTCTGCTCTCGGAGCGCGCGTCCCGCTCGGCGGTGGCTGAGCCCCTGTCTGTGTCTTGCCAGGCTGGTGGAGTACACGCGCGCCGACGGGACCGTGGGCCGCAGGGTGAGGCCCTACATCATCGACCTGGGCTCCGGGAACGGCACTTTCCTCAACAACCAGCGCATCGAGCCGCAGCGCTACTACGAACTGAAGGAGAAGGACGTGCTGAAGTTTGGGTTCAGCAGCAGGGAATACGTCCTTCTCCACGAGTCTTCGGACAAATCTGAGGCCAACACAAAGGACGATGATGAGGAGGAGGAGAAGGAGGAAGAGTCTGACAGTTAACGGATGAGGAGGAAATGGGGGGCAGGGGAGAGAAGTTCTTTGCAACTGAACATGCGTTGGGATGTAAACACGGAGCATCGCAGCACCGATGCCTCTTACTGCCTTAAAGCCCTTTTCTGTTGCTGATCTGTTCTCACCGTTTATTTTGGGGGACTTCACTGATTGCTCATCTTTTGATAGTTCTGCATATCGGGAAATACAGCTTTTTTTAAATTTTATTTTTTTCCCTGCAATAAGCAAAAGAGCACCTGGATGCGAAAGCTCTGACGCTGGGACTATTTAGCAGATGTGGAAAGACTGTCCTCTTATAGGAAACCGTGTAAAACCACAGCTGGCATATTTAAAATTGTTTTTATTGACTGTTTTGTCATAGCCCTTTGGAAATGCTACTTAATTGAAGCGTTAGTTAGAAAGTGACCCCATGCACTTTGTAACGCCGTCTTGTTTGTTCACCAAATTCCTCTGCCTGTCAGGATTTCTAGACAGCAGAATTTACCAGGCTCGCTACTAAAATTTAGGCAGAAATGTTGCAAAGCCGCCCCCAATCCTTGTATTTCTGTTTCGGGTACTTAGTTTGCCCTGGGATAACTTTCCGTGAGGGGCATTTCACTGGAAAACGCTGCCTGAAAACTACAGGGGAACCCGAGCGAGAAGTTAAAGGCTTCCTGGGCTTTCGGGTGGCGATGGGGTGAACGGGGGGCTGAGGTCCCTTCGCCCCCCACGATGCTGAAGCTGCCCCTGGGGGTTGAGTGTCCGGCTCCGAGCCTGGGGCCTTTCTCCCGGTACCGCCTCGGCCCCGCGCGTAACCAACCCCTCCTCGGTTTTGTTTGTGTTCCGCATAAACCTTGTAGGTGGTGACACGTCTGACCGGAGTTTGCACTATTTGAGTTGTATAACTTTTTATAAGGAGTCGCTTGTTTAAAGTAGTCTTCTCCCCTGTAAAAGAAAACAATGCTTTAGCAAGAGAAAATCCAGTCCCACTCGCTGACCGTACCTGCCTCTGGTGTGTTTTTGGGTCTCTCCCCACTGCTCGCTGGTGTAAGAACTGTACGTTTTCCACACCGTTTACTAATTCTCCGGGTGTTTGTTGTGTGGGCGCAGCCCTGCCCTCGCCTGTCGCGCGCAGGGGCCGGGGCCTTGCTGTAAATACGGGGCACGGACGGAGGCTTTCAGGCCGCGCAGAAGGAGTTCTGGTGGCCCCGAGGATCTCCTTTATATACGCTCGGGGGGTTTTTAAATAAAGAATTTGTAAATTTAGCCCGAATTACTTTAAGTTGTCAGATTTTTCTAGTGTCCTTATTTTTTTTCCCCCCCCCTTTTTGTTCCTCGAACTCGTCTCGGTCTTAAAGACACCAGCTGTGTTTGTTGATCCCGAAGCGGGTGCGGGCCCTCCTCAGGGGCCCGATCCCGCACGGTCCTGCTCCTGTCCTGTC